CAGGGGAGGTGTGAATGTGCTGCTGACAGTGAACTTTATCTCAAGCATGAGCACAGCCTCCAGCCCTGCAGCCTGAGCACCTTATCACAGCTTTGGAGTGTTGGTTTTTGAAAGGCTGCTTGCCAGTCACGCTGTGCTGAGAAGCAACAGCTAAAATATCCTGTCCCTCTGGCCCACAGCCACCCACCCTGCAGCACAAAAGGCTCCAGCTATTTCCAGAAGCTTGGCAATCACGGTGAGTATTTTCTGGGAAAACAAAGAAAGGTTGTTAAATCAAGAACAGAGGGTGATAAGAGCAGCCACTCCGAGTTCCTGAGGGAGAGCAGCTTTGCTTTCCCAGATTTTCTGGGTGAAGCTGCATCCTTCCCACTGCAGCAAGAAATTCCCTCTGTTCACATGCAGCTTTGTGGGCATCCACTGCAGAATTCCAGGATGGTCTTGCAGTTCTCAACAGGAAGGATTTGCCCTCTAATCACAATAAGCAAGAGTGGGTACATGTTGCAATTGGGCAAGAAATGAACGATGAATTACACACACAAGCTGAGATGTCCAAGGTAAAAAGAGAGCAGTTTATTTCCAAACTCCAATATTTATAGACTTTCAAAAGTGACCATGGATTGGAGGATGAAATTGCCACCTCTCCAGCCACACTGGTCCATCAGTTCTCTCCTCCTCCAGAAATGAATGCAAAACAATCATTATTTACATGAAAAGTGCGTGAGAAACTACATTACAAAAATGGAGTTACATTACAGTAATGTAATATAACTCCATTACATTACTGCACACTTGCATGTACCTGTTGCCCTGTTCTAAAGTTCTTCTAAGCCTTCTTCTTCTAAGAAGAACTTCAGAAGAACAGGGCAACAGGTGTGCAGTTGTACCTGAACTGATGAGAAGCATTGATGAAAAGAACCATAAATGTTAGCAGGAAGAAGAAGAATACATGCATGAATCCTGGACAAAAATCAGGGTAGTTTACCTCCCTATTCTCAAAACTGACCCACACCACTCTCTAGTCAAGCACAGTCCACAAATCTGAGTTTTGTCAAAACTAATGGACAATTGGGATCCTGCTCTGGGAGCACAAAATTTAGGTTATGTACAGTGCCACTCTCACAGGCTGAGGGAAAATCTGCTGAGGGTTTTGTGGAGGACAGGCTTTATGTAATGATTACATTTTTAGTTAGTTGGGTTATTTTTAGGTCCGTCACCAGTCTGTTAGGGGAGGCAGAAGGGAAGTAAACAACCCCTGCAACTCCTAGGACAGGAGCCATTTCATTCCTGGAGCTGTTTAGCCATTTCTAGAAATGGCTTCACCTTCTTCAAGCCCCACAGTGACAAATGGCATGCAGCCATAAATAGCACAATGGGATGGTGTGACCTCTTGCCCCTGGATTTGGCTGCCTGGCAATAAAACCCTGGTCAATGGGCACTGGTGACACTGCTCCCAGCTACGCCAGGGTGAGCTGAGCTCAAAGAAATACCTGGCAAGTGTTATCCCAGATAAAATGCTCAAGAAATATCCTCCTTACACCCTTCTCTTCCTACACAAACTTGCATCCTGTAAAATCCATTATGAGAGTCCAGATCAACATATCCAACCATCCATGTGACACTGAAGCTTTTAATAACTTTAATGTTTAAATAAACAATAAACCATAGACATACCAAGAGCCTTCCCAAAACTTGACCACTCTCACACACTTCCATGACCAAACCCCGAAAAAGAGACACTCAGAACCTTGTTGTAGTGCATGCACCATGGTTTTGATTATGAAGAAATAATTTTATTGAAGCCTCTCAGTGTCTGGTCTATTCTTTTCTCTGTTTTTAGCAGAAGTTGCTCTGGAAATTGAGGCACGTTCTCCACTCACCAGGAGATGTCACCACACACCTCAGTAACCAAACCAGGAGCCCGGATGGGATCTCAGAGAGGGACCTGGGTGAATGTCCCAGCTCGGAGCAGCTGGGGATGTGTCCTGTCCATGCTGCCCACAAAGGTTCTGTTTCTCTCTCCCGTGAGGAGTCAGGAAGGGCAGAAAACGAATGCCACAGCTTTCCTGCCTGCAGTTGCTCCCACTGCCAGTCCAGCCTTGCTCCATGCAGAAAAATTAGACCTCCAAACTCCAAAGATGTCTCATAAAACACAGAGAATGAGAAACTTGGATTCTGAGCAGTTTGGTGCAAGATCAACCTATGAATTTCTGAGATCCAACCTAAAGATCATGTGGAAGCAAGGATGTCCAGATCAACACATCTAGCGATGAACTCAACCATCTGTGTGACACTGAAACTTTTAATAAATTTAATAATTTATTTTATAAATTTAAATAAGCACCCATTCATGGTGGTGCTGCTGCGCACTGAGCCTGCACAGCCCAGCTGCAGCCCACCCAGGGAGGGGAGGCAGGGGGACACCAAGAAAATGCTTGGAGCATTTTTCCAGCTAAATGTCAATGTCTCAGTGAGGAGCCCCTGGTGCCAGCATCCCTCACAGGCTCAGTGATCCCTCTGTGATGAAAGTGCTGCAGAAACACCACTGCCCTTTCAGCCAGCCAGGGAATGTTGGCCTGAGCAGCTGGGAGGGAGAAAAAGGCTAAAGGGGTCACTGAGCTTGGAAGGAGGAAGATGAGTTACTGCAGCAGGGCTCCAATGATCCCTTACCAAGTCTCATTTATGTGCTGTCAACTTCAGTGCTCAGCAACCTCATGGGATGGGCAGGTAAATCCCCAGAGTGTGGAAACACTGGGCACAGGGAATATTTCTGTGTCTGTTCCCCCAGGGCAGCACTGACTCTGACCCTCATTCATGGAGAAAGTTTCCTAAACTCCAGAATAGCCTGGAATCCACAAAAGTGTGAAATAAATTATAGAGAGCAGTGCAGGTGTATCACTTGGTGAGAAATTGAGGTTTGGGATTTTTAGTGTGTTGTGGATGGCAGCAAGATGGAGGGCACAGGGTGTTGTCCTGGGTTTCTTCTTCATGGGTTTGGGTGGTATTTTGTAATTGGGCAGAGAAGTCTGCATTGCAGCTCTGTGGGCTCAGTTATTGGGTTAAAAGGGAAAATAATCCAGGTGTCAGCTCTTAATTGGACAGTTTATTCTTAAAAGCCCTTGTACCAAGAGATTGTTGGGCTTTTTTTGCTTTTTATTGAAAGGTTGCCCACTTCCCGGCGTTGGGCTTTTTTCCTTGTTAGGAATTATTAACCCCTTGGTTTTGACCTTGAGTTGTTTTTCAGTGCCTTCAATCCAGACCCAGAGGAACCCACAGCTGGGACCCCCACACCAGAGGAATAGTTTGCCCTCATTTTGCTCCTAATCAGATTTCTGATGATACAGGAGAAATATCTCAGGAAGCTGCTAAACAACTTGTTCTTGGAGATGGGCAACACAAATCAACCTGCTTCCTTCCACCCTATATGAAAGACTTGCCATACAAAGGAACACTTCAAAAAGGGACACAAAGCCATTTCCTAACTGTAACTCCAAAACATTTTCTGCTGTCCTCAGGGGTTCATTCTTTCTCATAGACTGATGTTTGTGCTGAGGTCTCCATCTTAGCTGCAATGATAAATCTCTGTGAATATCCAGACCAAGGCATTAGGGTGAGAGGCAATGACACAAATGGCAATGGGAAAAATTCCAAGTGGATTTTGGTAAATTGTTGTTTCTTGAAGGTTTTCAAATTCACCTTGACAAGGCATTGAGAAATTCCTCTAAGCTAGCTCTGCTTTAGCTCAAGATTGCACCACAGACTTCTAGAAATCCTGTCCAGCCTTAATTATTCTTTTACCAACACAGTCATAGATGAGGACTGTACTAGTGAGAGTAACCAGAGAAACATTCAGCAGAACCCAAAAACAACCTCAGAGATCTCAAGGTTTTCTCAAGAAGATTTATTATCCATTTCTGCAGACCTGTGAGAAGCCATTCAAAACAACAAAACAATCCTGGGGAAAAGATGAACCTGAAACTGCCCTGACCTTTTCTCACTGTGTTGTTACATTGAGAAATACACACCTCAAACCTCTGGGATGATGATTTCAATTTCATTTACAAACAAGATTCATATCAAATGTGGTTTTCACCAGCATCAACCACAAAAAACCCTCAACAATATAATAACATGAAACTTCCTTTTCCTTCACAGAGGGATGTTTCTAAGCTGTCTTCTTACAACACCCATTTAAAATGATACCTCAAACTGATCTGCACAAGAAAAAAAGCATTGAAAACATTAAACCTGCTGCCACATCACAGAATTATTTTTTTCCAAGCTTCCAGGACCAACAAGTTGATACTGAAAACTGGTTTGCAAGCTTTCAGTAACCCAAATATCAGATGAAAAATACCAGATGGTCTTTAATTTCCATTTCCTCCATGTAGGTCCAGCTTGATGGCCTTTAACTCTGTGTGCAAAAATGCCATGAAAGGGCAAGAAGTGTTATTGCATCTCAATTTTTCAGTGAAGCCAAATTTCAAGCCTGTCCTTCCTTTCAGACTGATTGTGATTTAATAGAAAACGTGTACAATAGACAAAGATCACACAAAGGAACTATTTTAAGCTGGATCCAGGGAAAGAGGAATTTCTTCCTCAACTTAAGCCTTGTAGAAGTTTTCTGTGCATGCCAGGTTTTGGCCACACTCGCTGTCATTCAGGCCAATAACCACTGCAACTTGAATTTGTAATAATTGGTTTTCCCCTTCTTGTCCAAATCACACTCTTTCATCTCTGAAGTCAATAACATCATATTAATAAGTTATATATGTTATTATGTTATGATAGCATTATTATGTAATAACACTCAGTTCTGAGCATGTTTTCTAAGCTCATCCCTCTGGTATGGGGTTCATAGTGACAAAGGAGCCAGGTGGATGTGGTGGAGACACCATTCACTTCCTTTCCCACTTCACAGCTCTCTCACAGTTATTTTCCTTTGGATAAAAAATACAGGGCTAGCAGTGAGCCCAAGGAATCCTGAGCTGTGCTCACTCATGTTCATCCATGCCACCAAAACTCCAGATTGATGCTGCACTGCCTGAGTGGAAATTGCTCCTTTAATTCACCACCAGAAAAGAGAATTTCCTCCCTCCTCCTCGTCTTCCTCCTCCTCCTCCTCCTGGGTGGATGAAACCAGATCAAAACCTCAAACCAATCCTTGCACCAGCAGGAACTCCAAAGGTAGATTTGGGAGGGGTTGGAGGGAGATATAAATGCTGATAGCTGGAGACACAGAGCAACACTGACCTGCAGAGACTTAAGGGAAGAGGGATCAGACACCAAACATGAACCTGAAACTCCTTTTTTGCCCTGGATTCCTTCTGCTGCTCATTGTCAGTCAAAACCAGGCAGGGGCCAGATCCATCTCCAGCTTACAGGTAAGTGACTGAATAGAGCTGAAAGAAGCTGATGCTTCTTTAGGAATTGGACGTGTCAGATGAGCTCTGCTTCTTCCAAACCCATCCTAAAGAGATAACATGACAGCAGGAATGCTGAGATGGGCAGATTCAAAGTGATTAAACAGAGGAAATTAAAGTCATTGATCACTGGATTTAAATTTCTGATCACATGAGGTGATTGAAAGGAAAATATTCGGGTTTTTTTCCTGTGGATTCAGTTAGGGGATTGTACATTCGGGGTCATCCTGTGAGTGTAGCAATGAGCTTTTGGAGTAAAGGAATTATTCTGGGAGGGCTGTGACCTAAAGCCCTGCAGCAGTCACCTGCCTGCACCCCTGAAACCCCTGGTTTTAGCTGAAAAAGGAATTAAGGGTCATGAATGCAGGATGTCCTCCTCACTCAGCTGTGCAGCAATGCAGCCCCTGCCTGTGACTGCCAGGTGCAGAATATAAGAAAAAGGGAAAGTATGTATGTGTACCTCTGTGTATTTGTTTGTGCAGGAGTTCCAAAACATTTCAGTTACTGCACTAGGGAGCTGGCATTGCCATATATGAGGTGACCTCTCAGTGTGCTAAGAAATGTATAAGATAATCCTTCAGAACCAATTTCAGCATGTCTCCTGCCATTGCATTAATTCTCTTAGATATCAACTATTTTTTTCTTTTTCCTCATTCACTATTTTTTTTCTTTTTCCTTATTCTTATTCCTTATTCTTTTTCCTTATTCCTTATTATTTCCTTATTTCCCTTATTTTTTCCTTTTCCTTATTCATTAAGGATGCCTTAACGCAATGGCAAGAGACGTGCTGAAATTGGTTCTGAAGGATTGTCTTATACATTCTTTGCACACTTTATGACGCCTTTTTCAAATTTTTCATAATTTTTCATAATTTATCCCTATGAATTACGAAAAATTTGAAAAAGGCATCATAAAGCGTGCAAAGAAATGTCTAAGATAATTTCTAAGATTTATTCGCAGTTCTAGGAAACACTTAACTGGCAGTCTGGCAGCTCAGAAATACATCCTCAGACTTAGCACTGAGTATGGCTTACATGGAAATAATGAGGGTTTCCCAAACCCCTCCTTCTCATCTTTTCCCACTTCCTGCCCTTCCCTTTTTCCAGAGCGTGTCCAAATTGCTGGATGAGGACCTGGAGCATCCCCTGGTGTCAGAAGAGTGGGAGCATGAGCAGGACGAGCTGATGGCAGGAGATGTCCTTGATCAGCCAGATACTGAACTGCAGTGGGTGCAAAGCACCAGGGAGCAGCCCAGGGACGTTCCCGTGGCTGATGCTGCTGCCACCCAGAGATTCCTCAGCCACCTCCTGAGCTCACCCCGCAGATACCAGGGCAGAAGGAAAAAGGGGCTCCCCAAACCACACAGGGGCTGTTTTGGTGTCAGACTGGACAGAATTGGGTCACTGAGTGGATTAGGATGCTGACTCTGCTGTGGTAAGAGAGAGGCAGAGGCTGCTGGTGTGTGTTCATTTACAGCTTGCAGAAATATGCAAAAGAGCAGAGTTAGTTCAGCTTTAAGGAAATGGTGCCTTAAAGTTAAGATTCCCCCTCCTATCACAAACAGAATTTTTTATTTTACTTTCCTCAGAATTCACTGCCACCAGATGTAGATTTAAAACCTGTGAATGCCACTCCTCTGTTTTATTTGCTTTCCCTCCTTTCTCTGAGTCAGCTGTGAGCATTTCATCTTAGAAAATCAGAGAGGTTTTTCCTCTCTGCTCCCCAGGGATAATTGCTTCAATCCAAACAAACTCTAAGCACAGCAGTGGAGCTAAATCTGCCCTTAGAACAGCAAGAAAACAGTTAATTTCCATATGTGAAACCCTTTATACTTCTCTTTCTATTTCTTATTGATCTTCTTTATTGACAGGATAACTTTGGGGTTTCAAACACCCCTTGCCTGCTACAGATCTACTCTGTACTGAGCAAACAAACCCACTTCTCCCATGATTTACTTGTCCAACAAAATGCACCTTTGCTGTACTGCCTGTTTGTATCAGAGTATTTATTTGTCAACATCTATCTGAAAATTAATTGCAGAAAACTACATTTGTACTCTTTGTTTACTGACTGTATAAATAAACAAGTCTCATTATGTCACAGGTAATAAACTGTTTTCCATAATGTAATGAATTTGCCTCGAGGTTTGCTGCGTGATTTGTTCATATTTCATTCCTGAAACAGAGCCCTAGTTTGCAGTTAGACATTGGAATTCAGGAGCATTTCAGAGGGTTTTTGTCTGATGAACAGAAACCAAAGCCCCAAATCTCTGACCCACAATTTGAACAAAGGGCAGCTCTCTTAGCAGACATCACTAGAAAGCAGTGACTCTGCATTTACATCCGCCACTGATAGAGGAAAACAAATTTTTCTTAGTATTTGTTTTATTTAAAAAAAAAAAGAAAAAAGAAACAAAACCCCACACATTTATTTAAAAAAGGAAAAAAGTTTTATTGAAAAAAAGAAAAAAAGAAACAAAAAACCCCAAACAAACAAACAAAAAAAAAACCAAACATAAAACCAACCCCAAAACAATCCTACCCTTCTTTGAAGGAAATTCAAAGGCACCCCATTCTTCCATAGGAATCCAGGTATTTCAAACCACTGAGAAGAAAATCGAAAAACATATCCTGAAGGCTTCTCTGTTTAACATTTTTGGTTAGGTCTTATGTTGTTTGCTAGTTAATCTGTTTAATTTAACTTTATTAACAAAGCAACAGCAACTGTGAAAATGCACTGAGCAGGTATTTGTTGCCATATGCATACACAGCCCTGATACAATGACTTTAGTTCATAATGAATTTATTACACTCTGAATTGCCATTCCTAAGAGAAAAATCACAAGAAAATTAAGATTTCTACTAATCAAAAAAAGAATTAAAGTCCATAATGAAAACTGTGTTATTCTTTCATCTTCCAGCATAATTCCATACCAATAGCCAGCCTATACATGGCTTAAAATCATATCTTGTGACACCTGGAGTTAATGAGAAGTTTGCAGCCTCCTTTCTGATAATCCTGAGTCTAAAGCTTGTTCCTGGCTCCCAGTAGCCCTAGAGCAGGGATGTTGTCACAGACATAAAGGTTTCTTAATGTTGAAATTTCACTGAAAACCCAGTGGAAGGCAAGAACTACTGAAGTTTATTTGCAGAAAAATAAGAGGTCGGAGCAGGTTGAAATCTGAGCTGTGAGCACCTGTGAACAGAATCCTACAGAAGATGAATAAGAAGCAGATAAGAGTTGCAATTACAGAGGTCAGGCTGGTGATGTGCCACCCCATCACCTGGCAATTTGTGGGAACACTTTAAAAAGGCACTTTTCTCAAAGCAAGAGCAATTTATCTCACATAAAAGCCTCTATAATTAGATCCCCAAGACTGAAGCCAGGTGTGTTTGTACTTTAGGTAATTTGCTGGGTTCTATTAGCATTTAAATAATCCAAGCTAAGCTTTGAAGTGAGGATGCCAGTCAGATGAGGGAAGCTCCTCTCGAGCTGTGCCCTTTCCATCTTTGCTAAGAAGCAATGCATGAATTTACAGACCAGGGCAACACAAGCTGCTGAGGACAAAAGCCTCCAATAAAAGTACTCCTACATGGAAAGAAACATACAGATATCTTTCTCAAATATGTGTGCTTTTGGTGTGTCTGATTTGAAGTGATGTAAGGCAGCAATTGAGATTTGGTCTCATCCAAGCCTCACTTCTGGCTAGCTTATTATCAGAGGGCCAATTGTATTTATTCCCGTTGGGCTTTAAAAATCGCTTTGAAAACACACCGGGGAGCAGCTGCAGGTGCAGGCAAAGGGCTGCGAGGGCTTCAGCACCGGGGACAGACGCCAAAGGCCCCGCCGGGCTGCCCCAGCCTGCCCGGGACTCCCTGAGCCCTGAGCCTGCAGGGTCCAGCACACAGACAATGTGACACAATCACCGGGAGAAACAACCCGTGCTTGGGATGAAAATTTAATTCCCCCCTTGGAAAAAGTGAGGCACCACTTAATTGCATCCTCTTAATTGCAGGATGGCCACTCCAGACATTTTTACATTTCTGTTTTGATTCTTGTCTGATGGCCTCACCGATTAATTTCCTTCTCAATCTAACCATCATGCAGGGAAAGAGAGCCTGGGTGCGGTGTGGTGTCGCAGACATCTTTTATCAAAAATCTTTTCCTTAGGATTTTTCCTCCTGAGAAGCTGAGAGGGCTCAGGAACAAAATGTAAACATTGATTATCTGCTGCTGTGGAATGTAACAGGTGGATCTTTGATTAGCCCATGCTGGTTGTTTCTAATTAATGGCCAATCACAGTCAGCTGGCTCGGACTCTGTCTGAGCCACAAGCCTTTGTTATCATTCTTTCCTTTTCTATTCTTAGCCAGCCTTCTGATGAAATCCTTTCTTCTATTCTTTTAGTCTAGTTTTAATATAAAATATATCATAAAATAATAAATCAAGCCTTCTGAAACAGGGAGTCAGATCCTTCTTTTCCCTCATCCTCACACCCCTGTGAACGCGGTCACAGTGTGGCACAGTTTTGTCAAAGGTTTTGTCACTGGGAGATGAAAGGAATCCAAACCCAGGCTGTCCCTGAGAACAGGAGGCTCTGCACACACAGCTCACAGTGCCCAGCCCAGCGTGGCAGCAGCAGAATGGACGCAGTGCCAGGATGTGCAGCAGGTCAGGGCAGCACTTGGGGCAGGCCTGTCCATCTGCACACGGAACCCACACGGTGCCAACCCCAGGGTTATGGTCCTTACCCTCACAGGGCTGAAAAACAAGGACACAGAATCCCCTGGCTGGGGAAGGGGCAGTGCCACCTCAGCTGAGCTGTGCCCATCTCCTCATCACAGCACCCACACACCGGCTGCCAGCAGCATCTCTCTGATCTGAACAACCAGAGCTGCTCTGACGGAGCCTCCTGGCACAACAGCTCCCACCCCTCACCCTGGGCAGCAGGGGGAATGTGCCAGGTTCCCCAAAACCAGTCACAGAAAGCTTTGCAGAAGAACCTTCTGCCCTGTTAAGGCAGATATTTTACTGGGGAAATGCCCAGCTGTGTCAGGACTCAGAGTCCATCCCTCTGTGTGTCCAGAGTTGCCAAGGACCCCACTGGGGGGCTCAGAGACCCTGGCATGCTGCCCAGAACACCTGGGGATTTGATTGTGACCCCTGGAGCAAGTTGTCAGCTTTGTATGAGGACCTGAAAGTCACACAGGTTTGAATGGTGTAACAACAAAATGATCACAGGGTGAAAATGTGGATTTTAGGATTTTTGGTATGGGGGTTATGGGGACAAGATGAAGGAACTTGGGTGTGTCCATCCTTTCCTCTTCTTCTTCTTCTTCTTGTTCTCCATTTTCTGCAGTGATGTTGGCACTTTGGGATTGGTTAAGAGTAGAAGTGCACTGTCTAACACAGGTGATGTGTATTGGGAATTCAGTGTAAATATGTTATACGTAGTTTGTAGTATAAAAGGACAACACAAAGAGTGCCTGTGACTGCCCTGCTGAGCAGAAAGAAAATTTTATAGATAAGAATTAATAAACAACCTCAAGACTGAAAAGTGAAGAGTCCAGACTCGTTCTTCAGTTGTGCAGGCTGAAACAGAGACACCCTGCACATCTCAGGGCTGCAATTAATAACCAAAACCCGAGACAGCTGAGCATGGGCAATGCCAGATCTTGACTTTACTGCTAGGCTATAAAGCCTAAAGTCCATATTAATTTACCAGGGTGATAAGACTGAGATAAACAAGTGACTTTTATAGCTTAACAATGATGAGCTGAGTTCTGACATTTCACACTCCGTTTGCTTTGGCAGAACTGCAAGATGGATAATTGAGGGCAGAATTTGGTTGTGAAAATACAACTGCTACTGTGACCAGCAGCCATTTCATCCCATGTCTATACTTCACTACACTGTACATGGAATACAGCACAAATCTTTCCTTTGAAGCTTCCTTTTTCTTAGAAAAGTGTTGTCAAGGCTGCTGCATCTTATTTATCTGCCATGGAACACAGAAGATGAAAAAGAATGAACCAGTAAATAAAGGACTATCTTGGGGTATGACTTAATGACTAAAATCCTGGACAATTAGATTGTTTCACAGGGACAGGTCACTGAAAGCAAAATATTTCACATCAGAGATTAATATTGTGTCTCTCAATTTCTTGCTGCTGGGTTTGTGCCCCAGGGGCAGCTGTACAAAACAAAAATAAAAACAAAACAAAACAAATTAAAAAAAAACCAAAACAGACACAAAGGAAATGTCAGAGCAAGCTACAAAATGTTTTTGTACAGAGAGCACTAGAGAATATTTAGTGTGGGGGGATGTGAAAGGAAAGAAACAAGAAATACAACAATAACCGATTCCAATTATCTTAAATTGGACACTCAAAATGAACGAATACTTCTGGTTGATCTTCTCCCACTTTTGCAGTTTACAAAACAAAGTGTAACAAACACCTTGGCACAAACAAACAAAGAGCAGCAGGAAGAGAAAATTTGTAACTAATTAACAAATTATACAGACACTGCAGTATAGAATGTTAAATATAAAAAATAAGCTATCAGGATCTTAATTCTTTTTTAAAAACACAAAATAAGAAAGTGTAATAATACAAAATTAATAATACAAAAAAATACAATAATACAAAACAAATAGTGTTGCCTTTATGTTCTGAAACAAATAAAGCATTGAGGAAAAACACAGAGAACTCTTTTAATAAAGGGCTTCATCAGAACATACACAGAGTTGGGCTGACTTCGGGCTATATTAGGAAGAAGTAGCATTTGAGCATGACTTCACAACCTTGAGAATGTCCTTTCTGGTATAATTTTGGTAGCTGATCATGTGAGCAGTATGTGCACATGTTTGTACATAAACACCATATTAAGACATATAAGACATGGGCAATAGTTTGTCATTCTATTGTTATTTTGAAAGCATACTCAGGATTTTTTTTCAAAATATATGTTCATATGAAAAGCCAACAAATTATTACTAGACTGACATTCAGCTTACTCCTATATTTGTTGTTGTTTCAATTTAAAATAACAAGAAACATTAGAAAAATGAAAACAAGCTATTGCTTCATGATTTAGAACACTTGCATTTCTGTAAAAAGATTAATTTTTAGTTATACTATATGTACAAACACAAAAATGGAAGAGAAATTTGAAGCACTTCTGTACTTCTGTAATTTCTCATCTAAGAACAGGCAGTTTCTAGCTAATTTTAAGACATCCAGCACTTAAACAAATAAATACTTTTAATTTTTTTATATATTATATTTAAGATTTTGTTTTAACTTCTCACAAAACTCACATATACACAGATTCATCCATTCTTTCTTCAGGACAGATTCTGAATAAAACCAGCTAAGTTCTCATTGAACAAGTTTCTTTCTTGTATGACGCTAAAATAAGATTATTGCTGAAACTGGCTGCCTGTTCTTTATATTTTCTTGATGCAGGGTGAAGCCTTACCATGAGTGCTTACAGAAATCCCATTATTTAAGCTTTTGGCTGTTGACAAACTCTAGTGTTTGTCAGCGGTGCCGAGCCGGTTGTCGCGCAGGGCTGGAGGTGCTCGCTCTCCCCACTGCTGGTTCTGCACTGAGGTGCAGGTCCAGGGGCTGCTCTTGTTGCTAACACACAAACACAGAGTTTCTGTGCTGATATCACCTCAGGAGCAATGGGAAAATGGCCCAAATCTGGGATTTTCAGCACATTTTCTGTAGGTGGTGGCCGCTCATATTCCATATAAGAAGTGTGCACAATGCTTTAGGTGTCCTGAAAGACAATTTATCGTCATTCTTGACTCTTCACCAAACACTGATCTGAAAGCCTGCTCTTTCCCCTGTAAAAGGCATTTTCTTTATGGAAATCTTCTAAGTGAGCAAAGTTTAGAGCAGTTTTGGGATTGTTTCCCATCTCTGTAAATCTGACCATAGGGGTCTCTTGAAAGAGAATTGCTAAGAATTTCCAACTGGACTATGTAATCACAGCTCCTGGTATCAAGAGGAGGGGGAGTGACATGAAATCACTGACTTGTGACATACATTCCTCAGCAACAGCAGCTGCTGCCTAATGACAGCTAATAAAGGGAATCTTCCCTTGACAGAGCTGCATGCCTGCAGTGGGACTGGAATGTGCCCGAGATAAACCCACTGATAACCTAGGAAGCAGGGATCACCCAAAGAGTATAAAAGACGAGCTTCACAAGAGACACAACACCACGAGGAAGAAAGAGACTTGAAGGGACATCTCAGAAGAAACAGCTTGAACTTCCCAACTCCCAACGAGCTCAGCGCCATGGACACTAAAGGCTCATTTTTCTATGGCTTCCTTTTGCTGCTGCTCATCCAGCTCCAGCCCAGCAGAGCCAACCCCATCTACAGCCTCAGCCCTGCCAAAGAACTGGCCAGCATGGAGGTGAGGACCCTCATTTTGCAAGGGTAAACTTTTGGGGGGCTCAGCAGGGTGTGAGGGGGTGATTTGCCTTCCTTTTGCATGGTTGGGTTGCAATAACCACATCAGATATCTCATGCTGGGGGACAAAGCTTTTCAGAGGGGTTCAGAGAAGCTCTGTAGGGAAATATCCTCCTGTGTTGGGTTCACCCCAGCTCCTGGGCAGTAGTGGGAACCAAAATTGTGATTGCAGGATGTCTGGTTTGGTGCTTCAGTTCTTTTTCTTTTAAAGACATATCTTCCAGGGAACAAAGTTCCAGGAAGGAAAAAATCATCAGAGTAGCTCTGTAAGAACAAATAGAAAACTCTGAGGTGGGGTCCTGTCTATGTGCTTACCCCTGCTCCACAGGGCAGCCATATGGCTCTAGCTTTGTGAATTTGAGAGATCTGCTTGTGTATGGATGAGAGATGAGGAGGTAGAGTGGAGCACCCAAAGACAAACTTTTAGAAATTTTACTAGAGGAATAACACATTAATTTAGTGTGGCTCATCCAGAAAAGCTTCCAGAGCTATAAAATTACCGCTAAGCATTTTAACAAATGATAGAGAAAATCTATTGTTACAGCATAGTACAAGCTTGAGACTCTGATGGGATCTGAAAGCTCAAACCTTTCCTTGGGCTGGTTGGTACCAGTAACCAGCTTCCCAAAGCTGTTCTCAGGCCCTAAGAACAAACTCCCTGAGCTGATAAGGACAATTTGAGGTAAAGCTGCATCTGGGGTGTTTCCAGCAGCCAGGAAGAGTGGCTTCCAAATGCACTCACTGTCAGGCAAGCCATAAGGCTCATTCCTCTATATTCATATTCTAGAGTTGGGCAATTAGATTCCTCTAATTGGTTGAGCTGCCCTTGAGGAGGTTATCTGACCCCAGTTACACAAAGCTTTACAAATTACAAAGAATGGTGCCGAGCAAGCAGTCACACAGCAGGCTGTATGAATTTACCACACAGGTATTTTCAGTTACTTTCAGGAGTAGCAATCCTGTAATCCCTGGGGCAGGAAAACACCTAGAGCTTCTCCAAATGATGTCCATTGAAATAGGCAGGGGTGACAAAGCAGTAACATGGGAGTGGGCTGTGTGGCTGGAGGTTCTCTCGGGCTGTGTACCACTGGTGGGCAGAGCAGACCCTGTCCAACCCACATCTTGCATTTTCTTCTCTGCCATCGTGTTCTAAACTTGCCATTAAGATACACATGACGGCAAGCAGCTTCACTCAGTTCACAAGGTGAAGCTATGCCTTCCCATAGATGGAATTAGTGTGAACAGGGAAATAGTGCAGAGGACAGAAGCCAACAACACCAGCAAGGCTGGGATCCAACCTGTCAGTGTCCCCAGGGTGGGCTATGGGACCATGGATGAACACAGAACAGAATGACTGGAATAATTAGCAAATGACAACAAAACAAGGGATTTCATTCATTTAATCCTGTTCTTACAGGCTCTGCTGGAAAGACTGGAGGACAAGTTTGCAATGATGGAAGCCCTGGAGTCCAATGCTGACCTGCAGGAACCCAAAGCGCAGGAGGAGATCCTGCCAGAACTCACCGATGACGGCGACAGCCAGAAGGCTGAACCCAGGCTGGCACCCAACACCCCCCTGTCCTACAGGGAGCCCCTCCTCAAGGGACTGAGGGGGCTGCAGATGCCCAGGATGATGAGGGATTCTGGCTGCTTTGGGAGGAGGATTGACAGGATTGGCTCCCTCAGTGGGATGGGCTGCAATGGTGAGTCCTGGCTAAGCCATTTCACCGAACAGCACTGACCGTGTCCGTGCCATGGCAGGGAGCAGCTTCTCCTTTAAATCTTTAAGAAAAAGTCTCAGAATAGAATTAATTTGAGCCTAGTATTGGTTTTTCAAAAGCATTGCTGACAATGGTGACACGTACCTACACAAGAACACATCCTAATAACATTTATTTCATGTTTGGTTTGCAGGTTACCGGAGGAATTAGGATCAGCCTCCCTAGAACCTGCTCTGAAGAATGCTTTACAGTACCCCTTCCTCCCAAGATGAAAGCCAGATGCTTTCCAAGCTCCTCAACAGAAAGTTATTCCTATTTTTATTTATTTATTTATTTATTTATTTGATGTTTTTTAAAGAACGTTTCTTACGTTAGCACTGCCAGACCATCTTTAAATAAAACTAACACATTAGACATCTGTGCTGGACCTCTCTCCTGTCTGTTGCATTAAATTTTCTTGCATTTGCCTAAAGTCAAAATCTTAAGTTTTATTAATATTCTGGTACCCACAAGCCTGGATCTTACTTACATGAGACAGAGAAAACTTAGTAAAAATGAAAATGAGTTTTTGACTAGAGGCTTTTCCTCTGCAGTGAGAAATGCTAACAGGTTAGCAGGAAAAAAAAAAAAAAACTTGCTTAAAATTGAAAGATCATCATGAGTCCTCCTATAGACAGGGTTTCAGTGATAAGAGAGTCCTTTTGCTGGTTTAAATTATTCAGTCATGGGAACTGCCACAAATGCCTCAAGTAAGCAAAAGAAAAGAAAAGAAATAAAGAAAAGAAAAGAAATACATGAAAAGAAATAAATAAAACCATAACACTCCACAAATTTCAAGATAACCAGAGGGAGGAAAGGGAATTCATTGTATATGCTTTCTAGCAGTGACCCAATAAAGGTTACGAGCATCAACACAAAGATACATCATGAACTGTGTCTTGTCTCACTCTGCACGGGGCTGAGATGCTGATTCCCAGAATTTCTTGAAGGATCCTCAAAGGTTTGAATATTATCATGAGAGGGTAGGTGGGATCACTGAACTACACAGCAGCTTGTATGCAAAAATCATTTATCACTTTCTGGGAGTGGCTCCTTGCAAAATTGTCCTGACACGCTAATGGGAACACTGCAAGTCTGAATAAGGTTTATTTAACCTTGCTAGATTTCACACCTAGGAGCTGAATTTGACCCAAAACTATTTTAGCACCCCACCAAAGAAGGAAATATTGCCAAAAACACACATTCGGTCAGCATCCCAAGGAACAGAGAGCTTGGATCCCCATGTGAGCCCCAGCAGTGGCACCAAGCCCAGCTCACACAACTGTCCTGTGTCCTGCATGTTCTGCTAGGAACTGTGTTATTTTGAGCACCTCATGAGTGTCATTCCCAGAACCTCAGTGCATTCCCATGGACCTGAGTACCCTGAGAAGCTTGTTCAGGGCTTAGGAAGGCAGCACAGCACAGACTCAGCTGGAACAATCCAATTCTGACTTTGCTTATGCAAAGGTGCCAGGAACAGTGCGTGGTGAGGATCAGGAATTGGACTGCAGGTGTTCCAGAGCTGCTGACAACAGCTCTCAGGGGCCACAGCTCCAGGGAAAGGGTAAATTCAAGCACACAGCCCTCCTTGCACAAGGCCAGTCACAGCTCAAGGTGCTGCAACGCTGACAGGGCTCCTGTCACACATCACATTTGTGACAAGCCACCCTCCAGTCACTCCCTGCAGTGCTGACACGGCCTCCAAGAGGTTTCTGTGTGCTCCTCTCCACGCTGGGCCTTGTGATTCTTTCACAAGGAGGGCAGAAGGCCAATCTGAGGGACTAATTTTGGAACACTCCAACAGGAAACCAGAGTGTGATACAAATCCTCTCCTTCCAGCAGCACCAGCTACAGATAAAATGCTTTGTGGAATAGTGTCCACACAGCTTTCCCTGACAGGAGAATAAATTCTCAGGCTGACATTCCCAGCAGCCTCTCTGCAGTGAAAGGTACAGTGACTTTGCATTTACTCAATTTCACAGATCATGGGGTGTGAAGTCACCCTTTGGGGGGATAATGGGGCTTTGTCTTTTTAAAAGTTTTCCAAACACACCCCCTGCAGCACGATGGGAACATACAGGTGGATCCCTCTACACCAGAAATGAACAACAGCCTGACTTCCCCTGTGCTGCTGAAAGCAACAACAATTCATGTACTCTGACAACAGCTGGAACTGAATTTTACCCAGTCAAGCACAGCTTGCACAGACACCGTAAATTGTCCCTCCCTGTCAGTCCCTCAAGGCACAAAACACTGATTAGTTCAGTGGAATGTGCTAAAAATGGCAAGAAGAGGCAATGCTTCCTGACCTAAAGCCAGGTGGGTCCAGTATTAGCAGCAAGCCAGTTCCTGGTGGAACAAGTCTGTATGAGCTTGCAGACAGTGAGTTAATAGACCCTGCAGTCTGGGAGAACCTAATGGAGGGTAAGCAATCGAGGAAAAAAGCATCTCTGACTGGATTTTTACTGCTACTACCGAGCTGTAAAGCACCCTCAGGGAAATCCTGCAGCCAGGGCAGAATAGTGCTGCACTGGGAAAAGCTGAATGGGAGAAACTCAACACTGCTCAGCTCTACAGGCAAAAACATCATCCCCAAGGATGGAAAAAGCTGCCACTGGTGCTGTGAGTGATCAGAGAGAGCAGGGAGCAATCTTGTGAACAGCTATCATGTAAATGAAATATCCCAGCGGGACCAGAGGAGGACAAGGCTGACACCCTTCACACAGCTCTAATGACATTTGTCACCTCCTGCCCTGGCAGACTTCATTCTGACTTCTGAACAGCATTTGGCAGCACCCATTATTGGCCATGCATAATCCAGCTTGCTTTCCTCTGGACTCTGAAGCCCAGAAATTCCATTAGTGTGCTCCATGCACTCTGCAAGGCATGAGCCTTGTTTGGAATAGGGCTCTGCTTGGCACTGAGTATATTTGCAAATTAGATTTGATGGTTTCTCTGCAGACACTGCACTACCCCTATCCAGCTTCCCACTAAACAAAATGCTCCCACTGAAATCCAAGTTGGCAGGCAGGAATGCCAAGAGGTGTGTGACCGTGTTCACAGGGGTCTTTGGATGAGGGAAGAGACAAGGATCTGACTCCATATTTCAGAAGGCTTGATTTATTATTTTATTACATACATTACATTAAAACTATACTAAAAGAATAGAAGAAAAGGTTCATCTCAGAAGGCTGGCTAAGCTAAGAACAGAAAAGAATGAATCAACAAAGGTCTGTGGCTCGGACAGAGAGAGAGCCAGCTGACTGTGACTGGTCATTAATTCCAAACATCCACATGAGACCAATCCCAGATGCACCTGTTGCATTCCACAGCAGCAGATAACCATTGTTTACATTTTGTTCCTGAGGCCTCTCAGCTTCTCAGAAGTAGAAAATCCTAAGGAAAGGATTTTTAGTGAAAAGATGTCTGCGACAGAGGAGCTGTCAGCACTGCTTGGCTCCTCCAAGAAATCACAAGTGAAGGACAGGGCACACACCCACCCTCCAGTGCTGCAGGGAGATGTGGAGCTGTGCCAGTTCACAGCCCAGTCTGGCCACAACCAGCTTGCCTGATTTACTTCACCTGAATCTTGGCCCCCACGGGCCTTTGCTGATTGACATCTGCTTGATAAGTGTGCCCCACACTTCTGTGTGGGAAGGAAGATTTGTAAGACTTTTCCCCTCTATTACCATCACCTGACTGCTCTCTCAGAAAATCAGCACAATCCCTCTCAGGAGGAGGTGAAGTTTGTGATGGGAAGGAAACTAGAGTCAGGCCTGCTATGCTGGGAATTGGAATACAAAAACAGAAAAATAAATCAGGTGTGTTAATCCAGTCATCACAGAGAGATATTCTCTAGTATAGGCATCAAAGAGCTGCTGGGGGAGTCAAAGGTCTCGAGGTGGTCATGTCTTAGCTGTTAGTCATGAGTTTTCAACACAGTGTTTTTTTCTACTGAAATTGGTATATATGGATTCCAGTCTGCTTTAAAATGCCTGAAGTATCAGTAAGATGTGTGTTAAACCATACACAGCCCATACAGCAATGGAAACAGCCTGGAGAAAGGGACATCCTGCTCACTTTGAAACTGTTATCTTGTGGAGTTTGTGAGGGTCTCCAGCACGAGGTGAGAGCTGAGAATCTGACTTTATGTTCTCAGGAGGCTGGTTTATTATTTTATGATATTATATTAAATGAATACTACACTAAAACTATACTAAAGAAAGAGAAGGATACAGACAGAAGGTTTAACAAGAATGATAATGAAAAACTCATGACTGACTCCTCAGAGTCTGACAGAGTTGATGGTGATTGGTCATTAAATAAAAACAATTCATATGAAACCAATCAAACATTGACCAGTTGGTAAACAATATCTAGACCACATTCCAAAGCAGCAAAACAGGGAGAAGCAATCTGATAATTATTATTTTCATTCTTTTCTGAGGCATCTCAGCTTCCCAGGAGAAGAAATCCTGGCGAAGGGATTTTTCAGAAAATATGACAGTGACATTATCTCAACATCCAAGACAGCAGGGGAGCTCACTGATGTCTCATCCCAGCTCCCAGTGAGCCCTTTCAGACACTGCATTTGAGCAGTGGATGCAAAGCAGACTGAGTGTGTCCCACTGCTGCTGGAAAGCCCTTCAGCACCCTGGACAACAAGAGCAGCTTCACTCTCTTCTCACAGCCCTGCAACAGCCAAGGCTCCAGGCAGCCATCCTCTGCTCCTCCCAGGGCATGACTCACAACTGGGAATGCACACACACTGAAGAGGCAGCTTGTATCCTGCTAGCAAAGCAAAAATTAAAAAAAAATAATAATCTCACTGAACACCACTATTTTTTTTTTCTGCTAGAGCCCCAGTGTGTCATTACAGGGCCAATGATGCATGGTTGGATTCAATGAGTCTGTAAACCTCTCCCATTCCCTCCTGTGTTGCTGCACTTACAATCCAAGGCAGCACAGAGCTGAAGATTTCCCCCAGTCCTTTCTCCTGATGACTCCTTCCCACCCCTGCTAGGGTACCCTTCCTATTTTCCTTAGTTAAACCCTCTGTGGTACTTCTTTAGCTCCTCAAATCAGATTTTCTGCCATTCCCTCCCAAAGAGGGTTTTGCCCTTCTCAGGCTTTCCCTGGCATTGCACAGCCAGGGGGCAGAGCCAGACAAGCTGCTGGCCAATTCTGTGTTAGAGAGCCTCAGAGAGCCACTGTGAGCATCTG